CAATATGACATTTGTGTAGAGCTATTTATCACACTTTATTCGTCTAGGTATCTTATTCCATGAATAGTATAAACTTGCTGGCATTCTTTATATTTATTTGTGTAGTGTCCGCATCAAAAGAATTTATATTTATATTCATAGAATTGATATATACATGTGATGAATATTTATTTATATTCATACGTACTGTACCTATGTTTATTCCGACGTAGAGATATTTTTGTTTAATTAAATAAAATATATGCAAATTAGAAATTTTAAATTATATTATCTCTATTGTTTTTGTATTTTTTTATTGTATTTTTATAAGCTTTAATAATAATGTAACTTGTATAAAGAAATTTAAAATTGAAAATTTCAACCAAATTCAACATTTGCCTTTAACTTTATAGACTTGCATAAACGAAATCGTATAGTCGATATGTGTGTTGAAATATCAAGTTAAGCATTAAACAAATTCAGTAAGCATAATGTTGGAGTAAAATAAGCTTAGAATAATGGATACATTCCAGTCAGTTATTGAAAAATTATACAGCAAAGATCAAAAGAAAAAGGATAAAAAATCTAAAATTTTCTAAATATCATATGAGGCTTGAAAGAAAATGTAATAAGTTTCCTTAAAAAAATAAAATAAAATAAAAATAATAATAATAATGTAGGGATATATTATATATAAAAAGGATTTTTCTTTTTCAATTAAAGATAGATACAATTTTTTATGAGTCATTACATAAACTATATATATTTTTTTGTTTTAAATAAGAAGTTTCTCTTCTGAGATTGGTTTTTATTTTCAATTATTGACCGTAACGGGATTTTTTCTCTCAAATATGGTTTTTCCAATCTCATGTAAAATAATATCTGACAAAAACTCTATATTTGTAGCTAGTATAAAACTAAAATATTATGCATTGTTAATATTTCAAATCTCTTCTTTTTAATACTGGAACAATCATTAGCATACGATCACTTTGAATTATTTAATTAGTTACTATTTATTAATTTATTAGTTATATATATATATAAACTGTATATATATATATATAATGGTGTTATCGCTGTTTAATGAAATAGATTTATGTGAAATATAATTAGAAATGGGATAAAAATTTTAATGAGACCTCTGAACAACGGCCGTTTTTTACGTTCCCGTCAGTGGTCGTTGTTCAGAGGTTTGACTGTATATGGTTGAAACTATAATAAATTGACACTAATTACTAATATAAATCATATTATTTATAATTAACAGCTAAAAATTATTTTAAAAAATTATAATTGATTAAATATAAAATGTTCTTTTACTGTTATTAATCAGGATAAATATTTATTACTTTCATCTCGATATTTTGATAGAGAAAACTATTGATCTAAATATCAGAATATCGATTTTTGCTGTCTTTTTCTTAAAATATTGATTCAAAGTTAATACAGTAATATCCGTTGAAAAACAAAACAGTTAGGCTTTCTCGTGCTTTTTTACATGCGAATTTAATAAATATAAAGAAAAATTGTTTTATATTAATAATTTTTGTAAGTCTTTTTCATTTTGTATTGAATAAGCATAAGTTTACAAATTCAATTATTAAATATTTAATTGATGTTTAATTATAATTTATATTGTAAATTAATGTTTATTCTTATTTTATAAAATAAGAAAACGTTTATATTTTATAAAGAAGAGGTTAAAAAAANATTCCCATTGCTCGAGTAATAAGCATACTTTTCTTTTAGCTAGAAAACTGCATAATTTACAAAACGTTCGGACAATAGTCGAAGTAATGGAGAATTACACGATATTTTGATGAGGATAATGAGATTATAAATTCTTGTTAGCGAAATACGATTAGGTAATCGGCGAATAAAGATGTTATTATTCAAATAATTGGATGCAGTTAATGTAATTAGGTCCAATCAGGAGATGAAAAGAGCTATAGACAAAGGAATGGCTATCGATAAAAGATTATTATCTTCAATTAGACAAATGAAAAAAAAATCTATAATAGTTGTAAATTTCAATAACAGAAATTTTAATTCGGTTCAATGTTAAATATTATCGGCCTTCACATACAAAACGATTGGGTTTTTCCGAATTTTTTCGTATGGCTTCAACTGTTCAAATGCGCTTTTTATAGGTTTCTAATGGCATTTAAGAACATTGTCATAAAATATTTCAGCTTCAACATATCGAGTTATTTTTACATTAAAAAAGTATAAGAAAAAACAATTAAATTTATTCAATTCGAATAAGAAATTTTCCATTTCAAATAATTCCGAATGGAATGCTTATTCAATGATTTAGCTAAATACTCTTAAAGTCTGTTTTAAACTTTTAACTCCTTGTTAAAGACAATTAGAGCGTAAATGACGTTTAAGGAAGTGAAAATTTAGAATATAGACGACGTTTGTCGGTAGAAAAATGAAAATTTATTCTGTTTATCGAATTTCTTATACATTCTATTATATATGTGCTATTTATATGGCAAAAATATATTTATTATGTAAATTAGTTAGAGTAAAATATGCTTGTAAATTTGAAAAGGAAGAGCGATTTGTTGATTTATACGAAGCGAATTAATATTTATCGATATGCTTCCTTTATAGTAAATTCAGAAAACTAGCTTCTGTTTTTAGATTTACTTATATATATTGTATATGTGTAGTGTACAGTAGTTTTTCGGTATGTTGCCATGAAAAAAGACACAAATGACATTCATGAGTTATTCGAAGATAAAACTGGAAGAAAAGATTTTTCTTATATTTGCTTCTCTTCCAAGAGAAAGAATAACGATCCATAACTATGATTGGTCGTCTCAAATCTGAATGCAAAAAAGTAAATAAATGGATTACTCTATATCATATTTTAGTAGTTTATTTCTAGTAGATAAATATAAAAAAGACAATTTTCTCTTTAAAAAAATTAAATTAAATTAAATTATAGCAGCAAACTCCAACATTAAAAATTTATGTTGTTATAATGTAAGAGTGTAAGCTCTTACTTTAAATGATTAGTATTGCTCTGATAGAAGAGTGCGAAGAAGAGAGAAGAGTTTTAAATTTCAAAACTTTATTTTAAATTTGTTAATCGTATTTTTGAAAACTTTAATTAATAATCGTAAAGATATACATCTTAAAATATTAAATATTTTAATAGTATTAACCTTTAATAATCTAATTAATAAAAATATCATAATAAAGTTTAGATATGTTTAGAAAAAAACGTTTGTTTAGTTGTGTGAAGACGTTAAACTTTTCTAGTATCGTAGTTGTGATAACTTTCTCAAAATACGTTTGTTGACATTAAATAATAAAAACGAAGGAAATTCTATTTAATTAGAAAGGATTCTAGTAGAAGTGGGCTTGGCAAGATGCCTGCTTCCGATACTTTCTACCCTTATGCGGAAGATAAAAGAAAAACAGAAAGGGTTAAAGCTGTATTGGGACGTAATCAAACTGTCTGACTGTAGCAATCACTCACCGAGAAAGAATGATCCAGAGAAAAATGTTTGTCCAATAGTTCACTGTCTTCATGTTAACCCAAATTTTTTTTCTTTTATTTCGTCTCCCTTCGCAAAAAAAAACAAAAAAAATTATTCATTGCAATATGTTCTTTCAGACCCGTGCCAATGAGCGAATAAACATTTAATTAATTCATTAATCGAACTTTTATCGAAAAATTTGCATAGTTAAGATATTACAAGGAAAAAATATAATAATAAAGATTCAAATTAATTAAAAAAATCTTTTTTGAAAAAAAGTAATTCAAAATTAATTTTCTTGTCAGATTTTTAATACGAAAAATGTTTCAAATGTGAAATGAAATTATTAAATAATCAAAATTAAACATTTCAATTATTACAGTCAAAAACTTGATTATTATAAATTTTCTTTTACTAATTATGCAAATTGATGGTTGTTAATGGAAATATTTGAAAGGAAAAAAATGTCCAACATCTTTGGATTCCCACTCGCGCAAATAATAAATAACATTAATTCGAATTTTTAATCGCTTCTGCGTAATAATATTACTTTTGGCATGATTATAAGGGTTGAATAATGAAACAGGAGCTGGTTTGATTGCCTAGTACAGAGAAGAGTATATTCACACTGTCAGTAATTATTTGACAGATGAGAAAGGAAGCAGATGAAGATCCGCTTCCTTTCCCTCTCATTCCATATAACAGTCTAAAGCCTGTTAAATAATGGACACTCATTGAATGTTTAAAAGCCTTAATTGCACATATTCTGTCTTTAAAATGTAGAATTATATACGTATATCTGGCGAAATTCTAAACCCTTTAAACTTATGCAAAAATTAAACACAGATGCCTCTGATTAAAGTTAAATCATTAAATGAGAAAACTCGCTTCAAAAATGCCATCAGCGGATCCAGATTTGTTTTTATTATAGTTTGTTCTTCATCAAATCAGCTTAACGTGTCGAATGTGAAGCAGAGAAATGCTCTAATTGTCAGCAATTAGCAGAATGGAGGTTGCTATCTTCTCTAACGTGTGCAAAAGGGAATGACCTACTTGGCGATCATTTAGTGATATCCTTTTAATGTCCAAAGGCGTCTATCACCGCAATTATAATTCCAGATGTATCCACATTACATCTTGTTATAATAGATGTTACTTGTTCGATATCTCTGTAAGCAACCATTATAAGCGAATTTCGTTAATTTGATATGTAAAATGTTTCGTAAACGATGCAATTTATGACATTTTTATTATTTTCCAAAGTCGTAAATATATTTTTATTTTTTGCTAATTAACATTGTCATAAAATATTTCAGCTTCAACATATCGAGTTATTTTTACATTAAAAAAGTATAAGAAAAAACGATTAAATTTATTCAATTCGAATAAGAAATTTTCCATTTCAAATAATTCCGAATGGAATGCTTATTCAATGATTTAGCTAAATACTCTTAAAGTCTGTTTTAAACTTTTAACTCCTTGTTAAAGACNAAGATTAAAGAAAGAATATATATATATTTTCAGGTTATAGAATTTTAAATAAAGCATATAGAAAAGTAACATAAGAAACCGCAAATTTCCAAACAGAGAGGAAAAAGAAAACTAATTATCATCCTGAGAGAGCATATTGCTTATTCCCAGAAGGACAAAGGAGCTAGCAAGTCGACAGTCGTTTCGACAGGTATAACAAATGTGATGAATGAACCAACTTCGGTCTTATTTACATAGAAATTACCTCAACGAAATAGGAACTCTTTTTTTTTATCTTTCTGCGTTCAAATGTTCTTAAATTATCGAAGAAGAAAAGAAAAATCCATCGCTTGCTATAAACGAACGAAAAACTTTCGTGTGATGGAAAATATGCAAGACAAATACCTTACAGAATTTATAATTTCCATTCTAAGCTCCACTGACAGAAATAAATGGAATTAAAAAAATAAAAAAATGAAGTAAATTATTTATAAGTGCGAAACGCGTTTAAATAAATTAAATTAATAAGAGTAACCAAAGAGCCTTTCTTAATTAAGTTTATTTTATATAGACTTTTAGAAATTACTAGAAGGAGAGAAATTATTTTACTTATAATCAAATGGCATTGCGTTGTGTTAGGTTTTTTACACCCTAAATGAGTTAGTAGAAAGGATCCAGATGCTATCAATCTGTGATATGTCAATTAGTTGCAATGATGTCATCCCGAATTTGTAACGACCATCGTAACTTATACCATAAATTGTGTACGTAATCAGATTAAGGGTGGAGAAACCTCTGACAGCGCAATGGTATGCTGGAAAACCACAACACGACTCTTGGTTAACCCGACAATCGGCATGTCCACTTTCCAATAATTTAACTAATTTACCGAGAAAAGATGTTTTAGATAGTAATTCAGTGTATTTTACTATCGAAAAGTTTAGTACGATGATGATTTTTCAATAATACGAGTTCAGTAAATCAAATTTGGGAAAGTTCAAAGCACTTGTTGAATCGATAATATTTTTGTTTTGTTCTAGACTTTCTTGTGTCTTGTACAAGTTCAAGCTGGTCCTTTCTAAGATAGATTTGACAGATTTCACGGTTGGCCAATCGCAATCACGGCAAACAAACGTTCTTCGTTTCACATCAGAAAGGCGAAGGAAGACCTGTCACTTTCGTTTTCAGGTTGCAGACGTGCAGCATTGTTGGTTAATTAGTCCTAGACGGACACTGTAATTACTGTGTCAGGCAGTAATTTCATGCTCTGCATTCTGCCGATAATTGTAACTTCAGCTGTTGTTTAATCAGTGTCACGAACATCGTATAACTCTGGAGAAGTAGGCGTCGAGTCGACTTTTCTTCTCCCTTATTTGTGAATCTTCATTCTATCATCTTACTGTTTGATGTTTCACGGTCGAGAAAATTAATTCGGGAATATTCGTGACAATGAAAGTAATTGAAAAGATCCAAAATTATATTTTAATAAGTACCAGAAAGAGTTATTAAAACTCTCTAATATTAAAAAAAGGAGCAACGTTAGCAAAGTAAATTGAATAAAACGAATTGAATACAAAAAAACTTTGAAAGAAAAATTAGATTTTTGTTATTATTAATGGATATAATCGATTTTAACGTCGTCACCTCTTTGTACCGAATGATCTTGATTCTTGCTGATTGTGCAGTCTGATTATTCATTAGAAAATTATTCAGAAGTTAAACTCGATTAATGAGGAATTAGGAAAACAGATTGAGGTCAAGGTACGATTGAGTGATCGATTAGAGAACCATAGTTATATAATTCAGAAACAAATTACAATATTAATATCCTCAAACTGTATCGATTTTTAGATAATAATGAAATATGTCAATAGAAAATGCGTAAAAAATAGAATTTTTTTTAAAGATGTGTTGAATTTCTTCATTTTTTTTATTGAGAGAATTGGAATTTTTTCCTTTTTTTCGTCATTTTTGAGAACTGAAAATAATGATAAGGCAAAGAAGAAAGTCGAAAGTATGATGTATCATTATGGAGAATAGAAAAGGTTAGACGTCTTTATGATCTAAAGCGAATTGAGAGTCGTTTGCAATAACAGTAATGATAAGTTGACACGAAGAATCTACTGTCTATCCTTGAAATAATATCCTTCCTTTATCTGCGCGATGGCAATGCAGTCAGTTAATTTTTGACTTCCTCTCTATAATCCGCCTATCAACGAGTAGTCGGTTCGTGTGGAGTAGTCCGATAGCGACAGTCTCATTCCTATTTGGAACGGCTTTACTTTCCACAAGCTACTAAGTACCAACGATTGGAGAAGACGTGATGTGACAGAAGTCTGATAGAAACGACGAAATGCCTCCCTTTGCAAAAAAAAGTTGGAACATTTCGTCTTCCACACAAAATCTTCAAATGACAAATGACAGTTTGGAGAATTGTGACAGAAACTTTTTTCAGCGCAGTTTTATTCGAGAATAGCAATAACTTATAGAGTTTTCGATTAAATCATAATCCTCTCTTCTCCAAAGTGAGTTATGGAAATTAAGAAAATGCAATATTTGTCAGCACTCCCGAAACAGTTATTGCATTGGCTGACATGTTTGTAACCGGAAGGGATCTTCAACATTGTAGAGCGTAAACCAAATAGATGTTCGAAGCGTGTGTCAACACGAGTGTTCTCTCTCAATAGCATTCTAAACAGCAGTTCATATTGGGTTTAGATAAGCAGCTAATGTTTATTGATACTGTAAAATTCAAAGCACTTTAGTAGCTCCCGTCTATCTTTAAACGTTCCACTGACCAGTTTATTAAGCTCCATAGTTTGTTATAGAATAATCTAAATTGAAATTCGGTCAAATTACCCGAAAATGTATTTTAATAACTCTCTCACTTGTCTAGCTAAGTATTGATAGAGTATAATTTCCCAGATTTTACTGTTTGCTTTAAAGGAAACGGATGTGGAACAGACAGTTTGGGTGACTATGACTATTGATAGTAAACAGTCTAAGTTAAAGGGGACGACCTCCTGCTCTTTCTGGTTGGTCTGCGAGAGAACAACAAATATTGGCACACCATCTCGTCATAATTCGTAGCATGGGATCATAACCGTCTGGAAACGTTTCATATCACCAGACAAACCCCAGGCCGTTTTCTATCGTAAATAATATTTTCACCTAAAATATTTATTGAAAAGTTCCACCAATATATTATAAATGTTTTCCTACTTAATAATTTTAACAAAATTTTATACGTTTATGTTATTCTTTCTAAAGCATTTATTCACTTGCAACACTAACTTAACAATGTTAAGGATATTTAAAATTTAATTTGTTTTAGCCGTTTAAATAATATAATTGAAGTTGATAAAAGTTTATTTTATAAATATAAGAAATTAAGAATGATTAAAGTCATATAAGATGAATAATACTTTAATAATAATTTCTGAAGCTTAGTTTTTAAACAAGAGCAACCAGCTGCGACAAATTCATGTTTGGCGACAATCTAGTGACACAGCCATCGCTCGACAGATGGTGATAATAACATTTTTCGAGTGTTTACGTCTGGTCCGGAAGTGACTTTGAATTGCGGGAAAAAGAATGGCAGATGATGGATGAACATATTCTTGTACAGCGCTACACAATATCTGCAGCAAAACAGTTGGCATGGCCGGTTACTAATCTCATTTTGATTAAATTTTACAAAGAAAAAACAATAAATAAGTCATAAAGATGTATTTTTTCTTATATTTTTTATCAGTTAAGTTTGAAACTGTTACATTTATTACGCGGCCCTTTAAAAAAAAGACGAAATTTTTCTTGAGGTGTCTCAATTTTTATAAAAAAAACACCGAGGGAAAAAATGTAATAGTTGCATTCACTTTTATAAAAAGTAAACAGTTCTCTGATAATAAATATGCTTAGATAAAAAAAAATGGAAAAGCTTTTTGTCCACTTTCCTCGCTTTGTCTTCAGATAGAATTTCCACTCAGATGGTCTTCATTGAATCAACCCAACAAGAAACACATTTCGTTTCTTCAATATTATAAGTCAAAAGAGCTTATCGTGAAAAAAGAGAGTAACTTTTCCTTTATTCTAATTAGCATGAAGTGCAAGTAACGCAAAGTTATTAGTGGAAAGAGTCGTCGCTTTTACAAAAGAAGCAAGATGGTCGATAAGGTTTTTCAATAAGTAAATAAATAATTTTTCGAAATACCGGTATGCATTTTTAAAATTTATAAATATACATTAGATTAAAAATTTTATAATTTAAATAAATTTTTAGATTAAATAATATTTTCTTCAATACTCTAAAGATGTTGAATTGAAGGGAGGAAAACACGATATTTTCGTGCAACCACCTACTCAAGGTCAAGTCGAATGTTCACAATTTCTTTCCAATAGATGAGTGCCATTCTCAAACCGTCGGCATTTTCACGCCTTCTATCAGAAATCCTCTTCGTTCTTTATGCTGGTTCGACATAGCCGATGTTTTCTCAGAGAAAATACATAAATATTTGATGATGTAAGCATTTCCATACGCAACTGGCTATTTGCATTGGAGGAAATAACTCTCTTATTAAAAATATCACATTAAAATTTGCCAGTGAAACATATTTTTTAAAATAAACATAAAAGAAAAAATGCGTGTATATTTAAATAATAAAATTCTAGTTTTAACTTAACTGGAATAACATTTTCTTCGTATATTTCATCTGCCTTAGTCTTTGTATTTAATATTATTTTTTTTTTTTATGTATAAAATTTTAAATTTGCCTAAGTTAAAAGATTTAATATAATCATCGACTAAACACAAATAGTTAATTGGGTTTTGTGCCTTTCCGTTCAAAAATTAAAGAATAATTACGTAAATGACGATAAAAAGCTCTGATTCTCGAGTTGAATAGAAATTTGTTGGCTCTCGCAGAATATGATCTTTTCTTTTATTTAGCAGATTTTTGTCTCTTTGTTTGAGAAGAAAGAATCTCCTGACAAACAAATTTATTATCCTGTTTTTGTAGACCAAAATACCCATTTTAAAATGGATCACAATCTTCTTTTTCTGCTTCTTTTATAAAACTTCGGATACTCGCAGCCATTATTTGCTCATCTCTTCTTAAAGTATCTACCATGAATGCGAAGAATGTGTATCTAGTAGTGTATGTAGGAGTGTAGAAATCCTAGCTGCAGACTGTTTTCGTGCTATTTTTCAAGGTTTTAAGTACATAGTGTAGAAATTACAAAGAATAGCTTCATTGATATGGCCTGCATTCGATCTTGCTAGAAATATCTGGCTGTTTTCACAAAAGCAACACGAACTGAATGAGAACAAGGATGTAAAAATCTACTTCTCCAAAGAAAAAGAAAACGATTAACATAAACATTTGCACTTATAGAATAAAAAAGAAATACCTATTTTATGAAGAATCTCTCGAGGTTTATTATGTTCAACACATAAAAGATATAAAATATACTTCTGCAATCGATTAAAATTCCTGATATAAAAATAGGATGTTATAGAGTCGAGTTTTATAAAAGCTCAGAATTTTCTGTAGAAAGTTGTCGAGTTTTGGTGATATCTTAATGCGTTTTTAATTGCATT